TATTATCTATATTACTAACATTGTCTTATTTAAGTACTTCACACATTACAGTGATTTTTCTAATTCTCAGGTTTGATCAACTGAATGGCAGCTGGCGAGAGAAGTAAAATATAAAAATTTAATATCTGTTTATCTATTTTGTTATTGTTAATTTGTTATGTTACTTTGCATGTAATGTTATTGATAAATGAATTGAAGTCAACACGTAGTACTCAATACTAATCTTCCTTTATTGAATCATTAATCTTTAGCAAAAAATACTTTATTATAAATTCTGATTTTGTCTGTTCAAAAGACTTATAATGTTTACTGAAAGCTTGCCAAATTTCGTGAAGATACATAAATCGTATCGAACGATGTATCGATACAATCGTATCACGTCTTCACGATACGATACTGGTGTCGTATCGCTATATCGCCACACCTTTACCACTTACGGATCTGAACCCTTTATAAGGAATTGTTTTCGTTTCGATTTGTTAATTAAATATCATTCGAGATTAGAATGCAGTAGAAAATATCAACAAACCACTCGTATATTATTAGGTTTCTCAGCATGTTGCCACTTGCACTTTGAACAAAAGTAAGGCAAGTCTTGAATAGTTTATTAACATTTTCTGAAATTAGATATACGTTCGAAGACCAGTAAAGCATCAAGTAAAGGTAATGAAAGGTACTTACGTTCTATAAAAATTAACCAGACCTAAAAGATTAATCGGAAAGTAATGAAAATATCTTATATTTTATCTGGCACAATTGTTTAGACTTTCTCAATTCTCAATAAAATACTTTAATTTTTAAAATGAAAACACCGTTCTCTTTATCGGATTTTAAAATAATATTGTGTTTGAGAGAGTTTATAAAGTAATTTGTTTTTTAAACAAATAACGAGCTAATTTTAGGTTTTAGAAAATGAAACTAGAAAGAGATGAACGATGTACTTTGTTTCTAATGATGTATTTTGGTGGGTTTCATGACTTACAACGCTAAAATCCTTAGTTCAATTCCCCGCAGTTTAAAAAGAGTAGGTGAGTCATTGTGAAGCTTTGCGCTAAGCAAATAAATTAATCTAATTATACCAAATGTCCTGCCATCTGTTGAGTAGTTTGATAACACTTTTAATTGCTGTAAAAAAAGCTCGAAACTTGTAAAATAAAACCGTAGTGGAAGCTCATCATTGCAGATTGCAAGATCCTGTACACTAGTAACGATGTAAGATATTTTCCATAACTATCAATCCACTTCATCTGAAGATGTAGAAATTATTTGAATCAAAAAACGTGGTCTAATGTGTCATTGTGTTGATGTGTATTATAATGATTTACATTAATGTGTGCTTTAGAGCTGTAGACAGAGTCACTAGCGTAAGCTAGAGGGCGATCTTTATTCAAATATTTATTTAAATATATGTTTATTTATATTTTATATAGTTTACTTATATATCTGGGTATAAGTTTATAATTCTTATTCTCAGACGTGTAAATTTACCGTGGCAAAGTATTAAAACTGAACAACTAAATTTGCATTGTGATATATTGTGATTTAGTTGTTTTTGAAATATTCTAGGTCCTTTTTATTACGATAATATTTCAGAGATTATTGTTTTATTGTGGCAAATATTAAAATGTAAAATAGCGTTTCTTGTTGCTTGGTTTCGTGATATCTTAGACAGTCGTTATCTTAATTATTATTTCTTTTTTATGTGGTGATATAACTGAAAGTCTAATCTGAAAAAGTTTAAGTTAAAATCTGTTTCGGGATAAATAAAAACAACAATGAGCAACAACAAAAAAAATAAAGTTTATGTCGTATACCTTAAGATCAAAATGAAAAACTGAATTCTGATGTAATTACAACATCCACCTAGAGGGGCCCTAAATTTTCATAAGTTTTATTGTAGTTAAGCGCAAAGTTACACAATGGCCTATCTGTGCTCTGCTCACCACGGGTATTGAAACCCAGTTTCTAGCGTTGTAAGTCCGAAGACATACCGCTGCGCCACTGGGGGGGGGGGTCCATCTGTTTGAGTTTAAGAAGTGTTATCGTGGAGCGAAATGTACGTCATCATAAAGCATAAGATTTTAGGCCTTGTGTCGTCAAGCCTGTTTCGAGTGTCTTAGGATAACTAAAATTGCAAAACTGAGAGGTAGTAAGTATTATTAAAATCTGATCAAAATTCTTATCTAATTCATCCGAGTAGAAGACCTGGAAATAAAGAAAACTCATGGTTTTATGTTTACTATTTCAAAGATGCAAATATTTAAAACTATTCACATATAAGCTTATTTTCTGGTCACTGCACGTGCTTCATAAATCAAAACACGAGCTTTTTTCTCGTATATTTTTTTTTTAGGTTTTTCCTTATTTGTATTAAACCTTAAAAATATATTTTATAGAAGTGGATAAACACTCACATTTTCTTAACCAATTTTCAACACGTTTCTTATTTCAGAACTTCAAGTAGCTAAAGAGGTGATCCATCACTTGGAACGACAGAAGGAAAGAGTTGACAAGAAAAGATTGGATGAGGAATTTGGATAAAGTTCATTTAATAAAAGTTCTTCACAATGTGGGAAAACAACTACGGATGATAACCCTTAGCTGATACAGCGCAACTAATGCTGTTTTTTTCAGCTATTTGAAAATGATATTGGAGAAGAGCTACAAATGCGTATCATGTTGTTAATTAAAAGTTAATTGTTGTATAATATAAAAAGTTTTTTCTTCTGAGGGCTGTTTATCAAATATATTTTTGAATTTGTATAGTGGATATCAGGAACAATACCATATAAGGGATATGTTCTTGAGATGTAATAAGTTTACAGATGATTTGGGGCAAATTATAATACTTTGAATCTTTGGAGCGTGGATATTGAACCAATAGCAATTCGATATATAGTTGTACCATAGAAAAAATGTCCTCAGGTGGGATAGCGGTTAGTCTATGGACTTACAACGCTAATATCTGGGGTTTGATTCCCCGTGGTAGCTATAGCACGTAGCCCAATGTGGCCTTGCTCTAAAAACAATACAAACAAACAAACAAGCCATAGAAAAAGAACGTTTTATTTTGTGATTCTGTTATATTACATCACCTAGTAACAATGAACTTTCACTATCCTTAGCTGAAAGTTTTTTTTAGTTTCACTGTTTATAAATTACTGCATGATATACGATACCAAAAATTTCGCATCAAAGCGTCTAACAGTTAATAGATAGCCCATTTTGTAGTTTTTTGTTTAGGAACAAATAACAGCAACCATGTCGTCGGAACTTTAGATTAAGCGATAAGCTAATTATTGGACTGGACGATTTTACTAACACAAACGAACAAATGATATGAAAGAATCGAAAAAGTCCACAATTTTTGGCAATTTTATTCGAATGTTTGCACTTCAGTATTTTAGTTGATTACATCACCACTTGGTGTTGGTGAATGTAGTACGTAAATCCCTGTCTTCGTGTAAAATAAAGTCTTGAATTGCTTAATACTACTTAACAAACATCCGAGGACAAAATTTCTTCAGCTGTATAAAAATTATCTAAAGGCAGTCCAATAAACACGTTTTAGCTGCCTACCACGTGGTACTAAAGTAAAACCTTAATAAGTAAGTTTCAGTACTACCGTTGGTAAATTTTGACGTTTGCCTCAAAATATTGGCTACAAATATCTATATAAAAGTTAATACTTTCCACGAGAAAGGACTAATATTGCCATATGTCAGACTGATGTAAGTAACATAAAATCTAACTATATATATCAGTTGTGAAAATGTGTTCGTTTTGTTGCAGGATTATCTTAAATTAAACGAAACAAAATCACTTACTCTACTATATTTCCTGCAGTTACCGGATTTTTTATCATTTGAGGTAATATCCATGCAATAAAGTGTGAAACGTGTAATATTTATTTATAGACTTTCCTAGCAGTGACTAAAATTACCTCAACTGAAATGTTAATTGACATTTTTTGCACTTTTAAATCTCCCTTTTATATAAAGCTATACAAGCCTTTTAAAGACATGATCTGAATAAGGTAAAATGTGCGTTGAAACGTCATCTTACAGCAAGTACACATAAAAAACAACAAAAAACTTAACCATCTTCAAGAAATACGATTACTTGCTTTTATATGTTTTTACTTTTCTAGAGCCATTAAGTTCTAGACAGAGTGTGCAATGAAAGAAAGACATTCTAAAACAAAGCAGGAAATCAATCAAATATTGCGAAGAATATTGTTGAATATTAACAATGTCTGTTGGAGTTTTTACTAATGTTGTATGTCACCTATCCAAGATACGAATACGTGAAAATATGTATGCACAATGTTTTCATTTCAACACCTTCTTTATTACTATTGTATATACGAAGAATCGAATGTATCTCAGATCTAGTAAACACAATCTCTCGGCTCTACATCCTAGGTTTGTGTTGATCAGGTTATTGTACTGGTATATGGCACGAAATATATTAACACTGCCAATCTCTTTAGACATTCTGGAGTTTAATTATGATTTTAATTATGGAGCTTTTTTACTTGATTTAAATCTCTTGAAATATATTTTTCTCCACTTTCCTTCTGCTGCATATAGTTATTGATAAGTAATAACAGGAATTTTCACTCTGTATTCAGAACAATGGATTTCCTTCGTTGAATAAAATTGGTTTAAAAATACATTATTGTTAATCTTTAGGCATGATTATAAACTTTCACTAACACGATTCTTTTAAATAAAGAGTGTTTATGATAATCTGTGATTAATTCCTAAGGTTTACTTATATAAATAAACCTTAATCATCTTGTATGCCTATCAAAAATTTAATGTGATTGAATAAGTCTTTTGTTTGTGTATGTCATCTAGCTCGTTATTTTCATGATTGTGTGTCACCAAATTGTAACCTTAAATGTAACATTCCGTTCTCAGTGTTAGCGTGCTCGTATTGTGAATCTGAGAATTCATAACTCTTGACTCGTTGTCACAAAAACACGTTCCGCATTTTAGGACCGTAGGTGCGCTATACGAATAATGGTCAAATCCCGCTATTCGATCAGACAAGAGCTGGTGGTGGGTATTATTATCTAGATACTTTTCCAATAGTCTATCAGTTCAAAATTATGGGGGTTATGCTCAGATAACCTTTGTGTGACTTTGCGCGAAATTCTGAAACAAATAAATACTTCAAATTTAAAATTTCCTTTAGTTCTTATCAACATCTACATCTTGTATAAGTATTTATAAATTAAGTTACTGAACATCTTTCCATAATAAATATACAGAATTCTCAGAATGGTGAAAATACAAAGCCTCTGTATTTCAAACTGTCAAATAAACTTTTTTTTTTTTTTTTTGTAGATCGGATCTAAAGGTCCTTCTTTGTTCAGCGCTATCTATCGATAGGAAGAATGTTTACATTTTAATTTTTATTGGAGTCGACAAACAGTGAAATTATAATTATGATAATAGAAGGTATATAGCCTTTAGAACAAACATTTATTTGAACTTGATATACATAGTTATATGTTTTCATGAATACCAATTATAATTATAGATATACTATAAACATTCAACCTCCTGAATTAGACCATCAAAGGTTTGTAGTACTAGGTAATTATCTGACTTGTTATAGTCTGACATTAATTAGTTTAATAAGCTTGCCATTCATCATCAATATAGTAACATGTGTACACCGAAACAGAAGGTTTGCTAGTCCTTTCTCTTAAAGTAAACTTTTACTATTATACTATATTAATACACTTTTCTGCGACAAGTTACTGTAAAAGTAACAGGGAGAGAATACTCCCGGGTCATTTTGGGAAAAAGTAATCTATGATACTCAAAGCAGTTATTTGTCTAGACCTTCTGTTTAATTGTATGTATTATTTCCTATTCCCTAATATTCAAGCGGGTGTCTTGGGATGGTATCAAAACGTGTGTCTTTATCTACGTATATGAGCCAAAGACCAACCATTAGGCAATGACCCAATAAATCAGGCAAGATACAACAAAAGAAATACAAACAGAAACCAAATAAATTTGTCTGTGCATGGTATACTGAATCATTTAGTGAATTTTAGTAAACTTTCTATTGGCGATTGTTTTGTGTATTTTGTTTACGTGTTTTTTTTTTTTCTAAAAACAAATATCGAAACTTTTAAAATAAAGACACACGTTTTTATTAAATGGACACGAGACGCAAAAACTTGACAGAGAATCCCCCTAGTTTGGCCTAAAATGTCAGATATTAACATACTTAAGGGCTACCTACAGGGCTTAACCCTCAAAGTAACAACTTGTTTACATATCTTTTATATCGGTGAGGTCCACATGCTGCATCATATTGAGTAATTTTATGTTTTCTGTTTGTCAATTACACCTAGTAAATAACTGACCACAAACTGTGCAAAATAACTAATTTTCTATGTAAACTACATCGAATATCCTAGCAGTAATTAGTGAGATTAATTACAATTTGAATAATAAATTTGTTTGTATTTTTTTGTGTGACTCATAGCTTATTGGAGATTCTGTGACAAAGTCATGAACCCATAAGCCATTTAAAGCTAGGGTTGGAAACTGGCTCAGCTGAATCATACTTTGTACAACCTCAAAGCTGTAAGCTAAGCCTAATAATAAAATATTTAATTTTTTTAAAAACAAAAACAAAATGTAATTAAAACAACAAAAACAGGAGGCAGAACCACATTGCGATTTATTTTTGGTAAGGTCAGTCGAGATAGTTAACTTTTAAATTTTCATAAAACAAAACACCACTTGACTTTTTCAAGGAGTTAATAAAACACTGATATAACCATTATAGTTAATAAAACACTGATATAACCATTATAGTTAATAAAACACTGAGATATTCCACTATAGTTAAAAACACTGAGATAATTCCTTCAGTAATTAATAGAACACTGAGATAATCCAACCAATAGTTATTAAAACACTGAGATAACCCATCCAATAGCTATTGAAACACTGAGATAATCCATTCAATAGTTAACCAAACACTGGGATAATCCATTCAATAGTTAACAAAATACTGGGATAATCCATTCAATACTTATTAAGACACTGAGATAATCCATTCAATAGTTAATAAAACACTGGTATAATCCATTCAATAGTTATTCAGACACTGAGATAACCCATTCAATAGCTAATGAAACATTGAGATAATCCATTCAATAGTTAATAAAACACTGGGATAATCCATTTCAATAGTTATTAAGACACTGAGATAATCCATTCAATAGCTAATGAAACACTGAGATAATCCATTCAATAGTTAATAAAACACTGAGATAATTCATTCAGTAGATAATAAAACACTGAAATAATACATTATGGCTAAAAAACACTGAAATAATCCATTCAGTAGTTAATAAAACACTGAGAAAATCCATTCAATAGTTAATAAAACATTGATATATCCGCTATAGTTAATAAAACACTGAGATAATCCATTCAATAGTTATTAAAATACTGAGATAATCCATTCAGTAGATAATAAAACATTGAGATAATTCATTCAAT